TATTTGCTAACAGAAGAAGAAGAGCATCTTGACTTTAATTTAAAAATTATTATTGCATTTCCTTGTCTTTTTTGTGAGCTAAACTTTGTAAAATCTGGCCAATACTTTTAATTAACGTTAAGCAAAAAAAGGCAAAAGTGAGAAGACATTTTAAAAAGTTAGAACATTCATCTTTTTGTGACATTGCTACTACTAAAACTTTTATTTAATTATAAGCTGATTTTGAGTCAATTAAAAAAGTTGAGAAAGAAAAATCCAGGAAGAAGAAAACTAAAAAATGCAAAAGTTTAAAATTTAATTTTAATTTAATTAAGCAGAAAAAGTTAAAAGTAATCTAGCAACAAACTGTTTAATTGCAGCTTGCATTTTAATTAATTAATTAATAAAGAGAAAAACTCATATTTATGATGAGGGCTTTTTCGGTGAGTTATTTTTATTTGTTTAGAAGAAAAATTCATTTTTAATTACATAAAATACATTTTGTGAAGTGTGTAGACTTTATACAATGTGTGTGTGCGTGTTATGTTGTTGTTATTTTTTTGTACATCAACTTTAACGGAAAAATACACATACACAGCTTGTGTATTTTAGCATCATCATTTGCTTTTTTGTTCAATCAACTTTAGAGATTTTCAGTCCAGCTGATGTTGGTGTCAGTGTTGGTAGTGTTGGTGTCACAATTATACGTTGAAGGCAAAACGAAAGAGAAAGAGAAGAAAGAGGAGGAGAAGGAGAAGAAAAAAACATGCTTTAAAACTTTGATTGAGCTGCTTTCGATAGCTGACAACTTGAAACTTGCTTTTTTGCTTTTGCTTTGGTGCTAGAACAGTGCNAACATGCTTTAAAACTTTGATTGAGCTGCTTTCGATAGCTGACAACTTGAAACTTGCTTTTTTGCTTTTGCTTTGGTGCTAGAACAGTGCGCAAAGTGTGTGTGCGCCGCTGCACTGTTTCAAGTTTGACAGAGCAGTGAAAGCCAGCCACGTTCGCTGGTAAGCTGGTAATTGGGTTTAGTAGTAATAGTGAAGAACACAGTGACAACAAGTAACAGAAGTTGAAGAGAAGAAGGAGAAGTTGCTGATAGGGACGCACCACTATTATTTCTGCTGCCACCACCGCCGCCACCACTGCCACCCCCGCCCCCTCCTCCAGGCAGGTGCGATTTGATGGAGTTGGGGAGGTAAGTTTCCCAAAAGGTGGAGGGTGCATCTGTACAAGTGTTTTGTGTGTCAGAAAGGATTACAGGCAAAACTACTATCTGGGCCACCACTTACCATTGACGGTCATCAGCTTCTCTGCGGCCACCGTCTGGAAGGTGCCGTCAATGGAGATCTCGCACTTGTACTTGCCACTCGTCTTGCCATTCGTCTCCACTATCACCACTCTTCCGCCTTCGGATTTGTTCACCTGTGCGTACAGTTAAATTAAATTAGTTAGACTAATTAGCAGCAGCCACTACAGCACCCAGCTGCGACTCACATTGACATTGATGCCTTCAATGGGAAAGTACTGCTTGTGCGGCAGGAGTGAGGGCGTGTAGCGGAAGAACTCCTGCTCGTCGAGATCGGTTTCATTGGCGCGGTAGAACCACTTTAGTGAGTAGAGCGAGGAGTTGCCCAGCTCGTAGAGACAGGCGAGCTCCACTTCGGCGCCGGTGCGAACTGAGGAGGGCACGTGCAGTGCTACCACGCGAACCGAGGCAGCATCTGATGAAAATAAGAAAAAAAGAAAAGAAAAGCGCAAAATTAGTAATGATAGTAGCAAACACACACAAAGGAAAAGAGTACTTTTAAATAATTTAGAGAACAGGCGTAGATTAATAGTTAGTGAGTGAGTGAATGGGAGCAAAACAATCGTGAACAATTGCCAAATTAATGGATTTAGTAAAAAGAGGAAGAAGAAGTGGATGAGCACTTGAAGCAGCAGCAGCAGCAAAGAGAGCAAGGCTTTATTACTTATTGATGAGTAGGAAACGGTGTTTGTCTGTGTGTGAGCTTGCATTATTTAACATAAGGCTTCTGTGTGTGTGTTTTGCTGTTGCTGAAACTTATTTTTTACAGCTCATCTGCATGCTTAAAAATTTGACAACTTTTGCCCGCATTTTTCGCTCACTTTAAAAACAGTTACACACGCAAAAAAGTCTTTTTAAATGGCAC